CACAGCGAGGCTCGAATCCTCACCGTCACCCCCAGCAACCAGCTCCAGGGGCTGCCTCTGAGCCCGCCTGTGGTGGTGACCCACGGGGTACAGATAGTGCACTCCAGTGGGGAGCTGTTTCAGGAGTACCGCTATGGGGACATCCGTACCTACCACGGCCCGGCTCAGCTCACACATGCTCAGTTTCCTGCCACCACCTCTGTTGGCCTGCCTTCCCGGACCAAGGCTGCTTCTACTCAGGTGAGAGCACCACAAATTAGCCTTCCGGGGCAAAGAGTGATTTAGGTGCCACTGTGTTTCCTAAAGTATGTCACTCTTCTTGTGTGTTTAGAGGGAAGTTTCTTGAATTTCAGGCTGAAGGGATCAGATCACAGCAGAGAGATTAGGGACAGGAGGGAGCTCTTTGTGGAAAACGGAGTGGTGTCTTCTGCTTGCCTGGGTGAAGAGGGAGGGAACAGGTTACCACCTCTTAACCAGAATCTTCAATCCTGAATGCCCAAGAGCATCACCAACAGATTAAAGCCCCTAGCTGAGAGGAGATGGTTGCAGCTGACCCTGCCTGGGGCCCAGGCCAGTAAGGTTTGGGGTGGGGTGTTGCACGTTACAGACTCTGACTCTGTCCCTTTCTCTTCTCATCCATCCTCAGGGTACTCCTCCTGAAGGTGAGCCCTTGCAGTCCACTCAGCCTGTGCAATCTACACAGCCTGCGCAGCAGCCCGTGCAGTCCACACAGCCCGTCCAGCCCACGCAGCCCTGCCAGCCCTCACAGCTTAGCCAGCCAGGCCAGCCACCAAGCAGCAAGATGCCGCAGGTCTCCCAGGAGGCGAAGGGGACCCAGACAGGAGCAGAGCAGCCTCGTCTCCCAACCATACCTGCAAATAGACCAGCTGAGCCTCATGTCCAGGTTCAGAGGACCCAGGCAGAAACAAGCCAGATCTCCTATCCCTCCCCGGTATCTGTCTCCACCAAGCCTGACCTCCCGGGCCCTCTGCCTGCTCAGGCTGCCCCGAAGCAGCCGCTGTTTGTCTCCACAACCTCAGGCCCTAGCACCCCTCCGGGACTGGCTCTGCTGCACACTGAAGCCCAGCCCTCCCCTAAACCAGATTGTTCTCCACACTTGACTTCCCAGAGACCTGTGGACATGGTCCAGCTTCTGAAGGTAAGCCTGGGAGGGGCTCCCCAGTACTCCCCTCCGAGCTTTGCCGTGTTAAAACGTCCTAAGATCATCAGTTGACTTAGCCCAGCAAGCTACTGCCCAGGGCCACGCCCAGCATGGCTCTGTTCTCCAGCCATGAGCTCATTCCTGTTTGTCCCTCTCCTCCCCCCCAACCCTAACAGAAGTACCCCATCGTGTGGCAGGGCCTCCTGGCCCTCAAGAACGACACAGCTGCTGTGCAGCTCCACTTTGTCTCCGGCAACAACGTCCTGGCCCATCGGTCTCTGCCCCTTTCTGAAGGGGGCCCGCCCCTGAGGATTGCCCAGAGGATGCGGCTGGAAGTCTCCCAGCTGGAAGGGGTTGCCCGAAGGATGACGGTAAGACAGGGCCCCGGGTGAGCAGCTGCCCCACTGCAGAGGTACAAGGTGTGGGTGGCCCCCGGCTGCCTGTCTTCCTGGCTTGTCATGGGATATAGCAATGGCATTCTTAGAGTGGATGACAAAGGACATGTTCTGTCTCCTCCGGGTGTATGAAATGCTTCTAGACATAAAACAAGGTGCTTTTTTTCCCATTCAACAAACATTAGGGTGGACTTGGGGGGCTTTTCTGCACATACAGGCCAAATCCCGTGGGTTGGATAGGCTTCTGCGTGTTTCGTGAGGAAGCGTTTGATCACTGATGGCTCCTTCTGTCCCAGGTGGAGACAGATTACTGTCTGCTGCTGGCTCTGCCCTGTGGGCGTGACCAAGAGGATGTCGTGAGCCAGACCGAGTCTCTCAAGGCCGCCTTCATCACCTATCTGCAGGCCAAGCAGGCTGCAGGGATCATCAATGTTCCCAACCCTGGCTCCAATCAGGTCAGCCTCGCGCCCAGTGTCCTGGCTCAGTGCACGCGCAGGTGGGGCCGGTCGATCTGACTAGGCTGGTGGCACGGGCCACCAGTGCCGGCTAGAGCAGCTCAGGAGTTTCTCGGGGGTGGTGGGCATAGGGCATTCTGGGTGGAGGAAACAAGCAGAATGTATGGGTGGGGCCACCATCGCCTGTCCTGGAGACAGTCAAGGAAGGGACAGCTGAGACAACAGAGGTTCTTCTGTAGCTTAATGATATAGAAGAGGTTCACAGGAAGTTCATGTTAGTTTCCTGACACCTGGTTTTCTTTTGGTGGACAAAGTCATGGGGACATCGGCTGGTTAGGAACTGACTCAGTCCGGCTGTGTGCGTTGGTCCTCCAGTTGGAAACGTGTACAAGAAGAATGGCAGTGGGGTGGGCGATGTGAAGGCCGGGGGTCCCCCCTCTTATCTCTCGTTCCCTCCCCCAGCCCGCCTATGTGCTGCAGATCTTCCCACCGTGCGAGTTCTCTGAGAGCCACCTGTCCCGTCTGGCCCCCGACCTGCTCGCCAGCATCTCCAACATTTCTCCTCACCTCATGATTGTCATTGCCTCTGTGTGAGCCCCTGACCGGTCAGCCACCATTCAGTGTGTTTTCCCAAGACTGCAGCAAAAAAAACTAAACACAGGACAACCCAGCCAAGTGGAGGAAGAAGCTGCCGAAGGGGACAGGCTCCACTGCCGGACGGCCAGCCGTGCCCTCCTGCCTGCCCGCCCGCCTGGCTCGGGCTGGCAGGCTCCTCTGGGCAGTGGTGCTGCTACTGTGTATGTTTACATGACATTTAGCCCAAGGACAGACCACCAACTGATGGACACGCAGACACCTTGGGGCTGGGTTTCTCTCTCCTCTTTTTGGAGAAAAGAAACAGGGCAGTGGAACTCTTTTTTGTTTTTAAGAAACAAGAAAACTGAACTGCCTTTGCACTAAATTAGTGACTCGGACTTGCGTATAGTGAAGACAGGCTGTGGCACTCTGGGTGTCTTGGAGCGCGTGAGCGCACATCAGGACTCGAACGCAGGACTCAACCTTCTGCTGAAACCTTGGGGTCAAGGAACATTTCATTGGGTTGTTTTGTCCCTACACCCTCTCTTCCCCTTGCTCATTTGGCTGTCACCTTTCTTAATTCTCCTGCCACCACCACCTTTGATTCACCCAGGATGTACAGCTTACAATCGAAAAAAGAGCAAACCGAAGGATTTTCTTTCTTGGTGGGATGTGCAGAACTTGGGATGTATGTATATATAAATATATAATATATATAAATATATATAATACTGACTTAAAAATCAAATTCCCCTGACATACATTTTTTTTTAATCTGTGCCAAAAATGTGTTTTCAGAGAAAATCTTATTTTCATACTCAGACTTTGTATTGTCACTCATTTGTATAAGTGCGCTTCGTTACAGCACGGGCCCTGCCCCCGCTCTCTGGAAGTGTCACACACACACACACACACACACACACACACACAGACTACAAAAAGACTGGCTTCCCACTTCCTATGTGACCTTGACCTCTCCCACAACTTCCTAACACTTTTTAATTTATGAAACTGTTTTTCTCAGCGCAGTTTTGTTTTGTGTGTCCATTGGATTACGAACTTTATTAAAAAATACAAAACATGTCAAGTGTGGATGTGATTGTCACTTGGGTGGGAGGACCAAGTAAGTGTCCTTGGCTTATGGGACTAGCTAGCTCTAGTCCCACTTTTGCTTTCTTCCAGTCTGTATAGGGGACCTATTCCCCTCTGCCCCTTAACCCTCCCAAGGATCACTGTATCTCATACAAAAGAGATCTTCGTCGCAGACTGAGCGTGGACCGTTTGTCAGTGCCGTGGTGGTGAACATACCTGCGACACGACACCTGAAGGTTCTGGTTGGTTCTTGGATAATGTGGAAGGCACTACAGGTAAAACCACCCCCCGTGCAAACTCAAACATCTTTGGTGTCGGCTCCATGCCCTTCCTCCTTCGGGTGTTGTGCAGGCCGGCCCCGCGGTGGTGGTGCCAGCACAGCCTGGCAGGGTGGTGGTGCCGACAGGAGGGTGGGGCAGTGGGCCAGGCTTCCCCTGCGGCCGGAAGGACTACACGCTGAGGAACTGGGCAGGGATGGGAACGGCCACGGAGTTGGTGATCTCACAATATGCATGGGGCTCCTCCGAACACCTACACTTTTGATGTAAGAAGCTACCCTCTCTGAGTAAGAGATGACAGCTGCTGGGAGCGAACTGTATGGGAAAGGGGCAGAGACCACATCTCATTTCCCTGCTCCTAGTACGAGTGGTGCTGTGTCCCCCACCTCCCCATCAAAGCTCCTGGCTGCTCCTTGTCCCTCCAGACCCTCACCTGGTGGCACAGGCTCCACTGATTCAGGGCAAGTATATGTTCCTAAAAGACAGCACTGGCCTGGCCACGATCCTCGGGCCAGGGTTACTGTCAAGTACGCGTGGAGCCCTCCCGCTTCTCCGAAGCGGCCCAAGAACAGGGCCCATGGCCCATCGGGCCTGGTTCTCTCTGCCTGCCTTGCTGCTCTGGCCGAATGGCCCATAAGCTGGGCTCTCCGGGTTGCCTGGATCCTGGTAAGTAGTGTGGCCCAGCCCCTGCTGGCCCAGCTCCTAACCCCCAGGCAGAATGGGAAGCTGGGTTGCACCTGAGTTCCATGGCAGAGGGTAGGGTGGCTCAAGGTAAACAGGTGAGAGGCTTCCGGAGAGGCAAATGCAGGAGGGGGTGGGGTGCACAGAGACACGCTCTGGCTTGGGAATGCTACCTGTACCCTGACTTGGGCAAAACAGCCCACTTGCTTCTAGACAGGCCCCAGGGCTCCAGTCCCATTCTGCAGAAAAGACAGCCTGGCTTTCCCAAGAAGCAGGTCTCTGCCAGCTGGTCCCTGGGCGGAGCAGCCCTTGGTGACATCAGCCACAGCTGCCAGCTCCCCACCCCACCCCTACAGGGAGCTGTAGGCAGCATTAGAAAATAATCAAATTTATTCTCTCTAGTGAACGGGGCCACCCATCCTTAAATAAACAGTCAGGAGGAGGGATGCCTGCTCACTCGGCAGGCGGTGGACATTCTGGGGCTGTGGGGGGTGTCTCTGCCAGAGCGGGCTGGCCGTCAGCCCCATCCCGAGGGCGGAAGACCAGCTCCCCAGCCTGCAACACTTGTCCGGCCGGCCACGTGCTGCCCGGCCCATACTGCTGGTAGAAGTCCGCATCTGTCTGGAACATGACCAGTGCTTGTGCTGTGTGGATCCGCACGTGCTGGGCCAGGCTGTTGGCATCCAAGAACTTGTCCCCACAAGAGTCGCAGGCATAGAGGATATGGGTGTTGGGGTCTGTGGGAAGTGGGAGCCACAGTCAGGATGGGAAGGGCCCCTGGGTCCACCGGCTTTCACACCCTGGGCAGCCCCTCTCACCTTCTTCCTGCACTTGCTTCACAGCTTTGCTGATCTCGGCTTTAAGAACCTCCGTCTCGTCGGCGGTCACGGCAGCCCCCACTGGTACCACTGCGGGCAGAATGAGCAGGGCCTAAGGCCAAAGGCCCCTCCTGCCCCTTCGCTGTCACCCCAGAGGCAAGCTGCCCGTAACCACCCTCTGCTGCCCATGGCCCGCACCTGTGAGCTGAGTGACGGCCGTTGCGGCCAGTGCCTCGGTGGCCAGCGTAACCATGTCATCAACAGTGACTACGCTGACCTCGCCACCCTCCTCTGGCTCCAGGATTTTGATGCCTGCCTTGCCCTGGTGCACAGTCTTCACGTGGGAACGAAGGTTGTCCACCCGGTTGAAGCCACGACCGCACTTGTCACACAGGTAAGGCTTCTCTCCTGGGGGGGGAGGCAAGGTTCTCTCCTGCCATTGGGGGAGGGGGGGGGGACCTCAGTGGCCTCCAGCTTCCCCAGAAGCGCTGTCTTTTCCAGTAGCAAGTGCTCTGGGGCAGCCACCAGAGCTGCACAGAAGCTTCCAGTGGCCCCTGCACCTTCTGGAACTCTTAAGAAAATGGGGTCCTCATTTGAATCCAACTATTTTCAAAACCACCTGTTGCAAGCGCCAGCACCCAAGGCTGCAATCTGGCGGTACCACCCTTCCCACCACCCCGAAGAGCAGGGGGTGAGACAGCCCAGACAGGCAGCGGTGGGCGCACACTCACCAGTGTGGATGATGATGTGCTTGGACAAGTCTCCCACGTTCACGAAGGCCTTGCTGCACACGCTGCACTTGTGGGGGCGGATGTTGTCATGGTGGCGAATGTGATTGGCCAGCTGGCTGGACTGGACGAATCTGCAAGGCCGCAGGGAAAGGGGCTCGCTCTGAACTGCCCAGGCCCAGGGCCAGGGGAGCGGGGCTGGGCCTCCTGCCTCTCATTCTATATTGGAGGGGACCCCTGGACCTACACCTGGGCTGGGACAGCAGTCGGCTCAGTTCCCAACTGAGCCTTAGTTTGTTTTCTGAACCCCTGCACCACGCCGAGTGTGGGGACCCCGCAGCACTCTGGGCCTGGGTGGGACGGGAGGGGCAGGACCTCTTGCCGCAGCGCTCGCAGACGTAGGGCTTCTCCCCAGTGTGCTGGCGCACGTGGGCGATGAGGGAGCTGGCCTGGGTGAAGGCTTTGCCGCACATCACGCACTGGCACGGCTTCTCGCCTGGGGACGGGGCGGGAGGTGTTAGCGCCCACTCCTCCTCCTTCCTGTGCGCCCTCCCCAGCCTCCCGGTGCCCGCCGCTGGGCTGGCTCACGCACCCGTGTGGATGCGGACGTGCCGCTGCAGGGCGCCGGGGTCAGCAAACTGCCGCTGGCAGTGGATGCACACGTAGGGCTTCTCCCCGCTGTGGATCCGGAGGTGCCGCTTCAGGTTCCCTGTGGGGGCCGACAGAGGGCCTGGCGTGGGGCACTCGGGTGGCCAGGAAGCGGGGGGGCGTGGGGCGGCCGGGCAGCCTGGCCCTACCTGAGGTGGTGAACTGCTTCCCACACTCTCGGCACTTGAGGGGCCCATCCGCGATGTGGATCTTCAGGTGGGCCTTCAGGTTCCCCACCTGTGCCAGGCAGGGGTCAGAAGGGCCGTCGCACACAGCGTGGCCTCGGGCCCCCTCAGCAGCCCCTCTGCCGGGGAGCAGCTGACCCGGGGCCTCCCAGGGCCTGTGGGTGGCTCCCCACCCGTCCTTGCTCAAGGCCAGCGGGAGCTTTCAGGTCCCAGCAGTGAGAAGGAAGCCACCCCCACCGCACTTCCTTCCGGTCCGAATCCCACCCTGACTTCACCTGCCTTCCCCCTTTCCTAGGCAGAGCTCCATCCCGGGGGAGGGGAGGGCCACATCCTACTCAGCCCCCCGCTTGTCCCACTAAGCCTCTGTCTTCATCCTCGAGGGCCACGGCCCAAGGCAGGAGCTCCCTCGGCCCAGGGGCCCCCTCCCTCCCGTCAGGGTGCAGGGCGTGGGCGCCGCCGGGTGCTGCCCCCACACCTGGTTGAACTTCTTGTCGCAGTGAGGGCACTTGTGCTCCTTGTCGGTGTCGTGGGTCTCCAGGTGGCGCATCTTGGAAGTGGGGTCGGAGAAGGAGCGGCCGCAGTAGTCGCACTGGTAGGGCTTCTCGCCGCTGTGCACCAGCTGGTGCCGCTTGAGGTTGCCGGACGTGGTGAAGAGCTTGCCGCAGTCCTCGCAGCGGTAGCGTGCCTCGCCCGAGTGCCGCTTCTTGTGCAGGTTCAGCAGGCTGATGAGCCGGTAGCTCTTGCCGCACTCCTCGCAGCCGTACGGCTTCAGCGGGCTGGTGGTCAGAAGGGAGAGGAGAGGTCGCTGGGGTCCTACCAGGCCCGGGCCAGCGGGGGCGAGGGGCCGGCCGGGGCACCACACCTGTGTGTCTTCTCGTGGGCCTTGCAGGCCGCCGGGTCGGAGAAGGCCTTGCTGCACTCCCGGCACGAGAAGGGCTTCTCGCCGGTGTGGATGCGGATGTGCCGCTTGAAGTTCCCTGTGTGCGTGAACTCTTTCCCACAGTCCTGCAGGGCACGAGAGGCTGGCGTGAGGGGCTGCTGGCGGGGAGGCTGGGGCTAGGCAGGCCACGCAGCGCCCCCTGTGGCTGCACCTCGCATTTGTGGATGACGGAACCGTAGGCCTTGGACTCCGTGCGGTCGCCGTAGGAGCCCAGGCGCAGGCCGCGGGTCTCTGCGCCCAGCTCCTGGCCCGAGTCTGTGCTGGCTGACTCCTCGCTCTCCTCGGGGACATCCCCCTTGTCCAGCTGCGGCCCCTCTTCCTTGACCACAGCAGACACAGGGTCCTCCTCCTCTTGCTCTTCTCCTTTCCTGGCCGGCTCCACCTGCATTTCTGCGACGAGGACAGCAGGCACTGAGGCGCCAGGGAGGGCAGCGGGGCCTGGGCAGCAGTGCCTTGCTCCAGAGGGGCCTCCAAGGGGAATGTGACCTCAAGAGTCAGGTGTCAGGAGGACAACCCGGCACCTGGTCACGTCAGGCCTGGGGCCGTCCCATCTGCACACACGCCCCTCTTTATGCGTGGGCACCCAGCAGAGCCTGGCAGTGTCTGGGCACCACCGATCAGTGGCCCCAGCGCTGGCCAGGGCAGCAGCAGGGGAGTGGCTGACCGGGACATGTGCTGCCTGGAGGATGGAGGCCGGCAGGCCTCACTGCGCGGGGGTCCTGGGAATGGCAGGAAGGGCGCTGTCAGCCGGCAAATACGGAGGGGAGCCGTGGGCTGCGCGGCTCCCCGTGGTGCCCAGCGCCGGGCAGGATGCCAGCGCCGCATCGCTTCCGTGCTAGCAGGAAGCACGGCCCGGGTGCACAACCCAGAGACGGATGTCCAGGTTCGAGGGTGAGACAAGATGCCGGCCCAAGAGCCGAAGTGGGGTTAGCTTCAGGCAGAAGGAGAGGGACCTGGAGGGGTGCGTGAGACGGGACGGGTGAGTGAGGGGGCTGGCCGGGCGGCGGTACCTTGCTCCGAGCTCTCTGACAGGACAGCCTCCGCCTCAGCGGCAGCCATGCCACTGGTGGGGTCGGGCTTGGGCTCTACTGGCGGTGGCTCCCGGGGGGCGTCAGCCTTCTCTGTCTGCTCTGCACCTGGAGTGGAGGGTGGGGGCGCTGGAGGCTGGAGCGAGACTCCGTCCAGGGGCCAGATGGCGCTCCTGGACTGGGCCCCTGCTAATGTCTGTGGTTCAGGAAGGGGGGTTGGGGGCCAGCACTTCCAGACTCGGGCTGCCTGTGCCTCTGCTCTGTCTGGAGCAGACGCCCCAGAACAACAGTGGGTCCCCTCTGGGTAACCTGAACTCAAGGGGTACCACCTTACCAGCCAGCCCCAGGGGCCTCCCAAGGGAGCCCCTCCCTGCACTGGGGCCCAGGGAGGTGGAGGAACAGGTGGCCTCAGCCTCACAACTCACCACTGGCCGCGCTCTCGGCCTGACCACCTCGCTCCTCCTTGGGCTCCCTGCCTGGGCCCGCAGGTGGACTGCTTCCCGCAGCGTCCAGCTCGCTCAGCGCGGCAGCCGCGGCGGCCTTCTTGTCTTTGGCCCTCCTGTCCTCTCCTGGAGATGGAACAGGACAGACCTGCCGTTTCCCATCAAGTGCCCACCATTTGGAGGGGTGAGGCTGCCCGGAACTCACGGGCTCTTCCAGACCCTCCCTGGGGGTACATCTAAGTGTAGTGGCTTCTTGGTTCGCTCATTCAAGAAACTGTTCACAGGACACAGTTTGTACCGGGCTGCCGGCAGGCCCGGAAATACCACCGCCGTGGCGGCTGCTTCCATGGGGCTCACGGACTGGCTGGAAGACCGAGCCCTCCCGTGAAATACCAGCGGTGATGAGAGATCAGTGCTTACAGGGAGGGGGCGGGGTTCTCTGAAAGGGTGCCGCAGGGAACCAGGCCTCGGCAGGCTCTTCTGAGACGGTGGAGGGGGGGCCGAGGGAGGGCCCAGGGGAGGAAAGCGCAGGAGGAGCGGACCGTGGGCAAAGGCCTGGCCCGAGGCCTGCCACCCGGTTCTTGGCAGCAAGGCACAAGGAGAGGCTGGTGAAAAGAGGGGAAGGGGCAGGCAAGGGGCCCCCCACCAGAGGCCTCTCGCAGGCTTCTCTGCGATTAGCTGGTGGCTAATCCTCACCAGCACCCCACAACACAGGCAAGGCCAGAAGGGGAAACTGAGACCCAGAGTGGTGACAGACAGTCAGAGGCAGAGCCCCCATCAAAAGCCACCTGCTTGGGAAAACCTGTCAATACTCTTACCTTCCGTGGCCAAGGCCTCCGTATTGTCCCCGGGGCTGGCAGCCGGCTCAGTGAGGGACTTGAGGGCGTGGCAGGCCGTGATGATGTCCTGCATGTGCAGGAAGCTGGCCACGGCCAGCACATCGTCCACGTTCTCAGAGCTCAGGCTCAGCTTGGCTGTGTACATGAACTCCAGCACCTGCCCCAGGCCTGCCAAGGACACAGACAGCCATCACGGACTCGCCTCATGGCCTGGCGCCAGCAGCCCGCCCAGCTGCTCCACTCGGCAGCAGGATCTGGGGACTGGTAAGAAGCAAGGTGGCGGGCCACCGCCTCCCCATCTCCTGTGCTGGCAGAGAGGTGGGCACCTGGGGGACTCGCAGCTCAGACAACAGCCTCCAAACAGAGGTACGCCCACAGACGGCAGAGGGCATGGACGCCCACCCTACACAGGAGAGAGGTGTGAACCCTCGGCCTACGTGGAGGACGGAGAGGGTGACCGCCTGCCCTGCGCAGAAGGCGGAGGGTGTAAATGTTTGCTCTACATGGGCAACAGAGGGTGTGGGAAGCCCACGCTGCCCGGAGAACAGAGGGTGAAACGGAGGGCAGAGGGTGTAAACGCCCGCCCTGGACACACTCTACCCAGCCGCTACCCTTCCCCGCCAGAGGACACTCCGCCCGGAGTGAGCCAGCACTGGCTTTCGTCGGGGCTCTGCCACAAACTCTTGCTGACCTCCGGGCCAGTCACCTGACCTCTCTGGGTCTCAGTTTCTGTACCTATAATATAGGGGAACATGACCTTGCCCTGACCTTCCCACAGTACATCACGCCATTCTGGGTCTGGAGCCCAGATTCATGACCGGTTTCTTTCCCAATCCTAAGGCCTGCCCACCTGGCCCCGCTCCCCAGTCCCCACCCCCGCCGTCCTCATCTTGATTAGCACTGGGATGGGGGGTTTGGGACTCAGAGCCCACCTGCTGGGCTCTGTCCCTCCCGTTGAGCTTGTCCTGTGTTCACTTTGCCCTGGAGCTTACAGTGAGCCCTTCCTGCCAGCGCCCCCCTCCCCACCCGCTCCCAACCTACACAGGCCCCGAAATGCGGCAGGAAGTCGGCCCCCACACGCTCGCAGGCCCCGTGTGGGAGGCAGACGCCGCTCCCGGGAGGGCAGGGGCTGTGTCAGGAGGGCGTGGCAGGGCACAGGGCCAGTCAGAGCTCCTGGCCCTCGACAGCCTTGGCCCTGGACCCAACGGGGTACCTGCCGCGTTACTGATGTCCAGATGCACCACGTCCTTCTGGTCCACGAAGAGCATCTTGAAGTACTCGCTGCAGGCCGCCAGCACTGCTTTGTGGGCCTTAAAATCGACACCGTCCACCACAAAAGTGCAGTCACACAAAAGCCCCAGCTGCCGCTGCTGGTTCAGCTGCTCCAGGACGTGCTGGCTGTGCTGGGGAAAATCCATGGCTGCGGGGAGAGCCAAAGGCCTTCGTGTTAGCATGTGGGGGGGACGCCATGCGGCCTCGACACTCAGCCCCAAAACTCCCAAGTGAGAGGTGTGAGGAGACGGGGGGAATCTGAACACGTCCGGGAAGGGCGAACAACCGGACAGACTCTGCAAGCCAAGGTCGGCCAGCGGCTCCTGGATTCCTGGGCGTACTGGCTAGGAGAGCTCCGAAACCCAAAAAGCGTCGGCGGGCCAACAAGAAACAGCCCCTTTGTGACTTGCCAGATGATGGCGTTAAAAAAATCAAAAGACAAACACAAAACACGGATTACTGCCAGCATTTCAAAAAAGGATGACACAGTGGAACATTTTTTACAAAAAGAAATCTATGACATAATCTTAGAATAAAGGACAGACCTTTCGATTGGGCACACCTGGCTTTAGGAAAAAACCCTACTGTTTTCTCTTTCTGTCACAGGAGGTGAAGTGCGCGTCTAGGAAGGCAGACGTCTCAGCGCCCGGGGATTGGCCGCTCTCCTGCTGCACCCACAGGGCTCTGTGCAAGCTCCCTCGGGGCCCACCTCTCTCCCATTCATTCATTCATTCATTCATTCTTGGGCCCAGGGAAATACATCAAGGGGGGGGCAGTCTTCTGCCTCCAGAAACCTCCCCAGGCTCTCCCTGGAGAAAGAATGAACTCTAACCCCGATCCCAAGAGCTGAGGCCTGGCCGCAGTTTCTGTGTCAAAGGCCTCCCTTAGTGCCTGGAAACCCCACAGCTGTCTCCAGTAAAAGTGCTCAGAAAATGCCATGGCCCGGTGCCGAGTCGCCCTGCGCTGCCCAAGCCGTGACTAAGGAGGTGTCCAAAATGGCTCTGCTCCCCCGCCCGCCCCTCAGCATCCCACCGGTCAGTCTTCAGATCAGGTCCTCCTTTCGAGAAGGAACCAATGTCAAACTAAAAGTCAATACCCACTCCTGGGACCTCATTACAGAGATCCAGCAGAGCCAGGCTGTCATGCCCTGGCCCAGGACCTGCGAAGCGGCGGTGACCTTTCTTCCAGTGCCTCCGGACCCTCTTCTCTGAGGCTGGTCGCTCAGGGGCGCCCCCGGCTATTTCTGGGTGGGCGGGTGATGGTAACACTTTGGGGCTCCCAGCCCTCAGGCTGCAGCAGCCTTTCCCGGGCTCTGACCGTTCCCCTGTTACATCAGCCTCCTGGGGGTGAGTCACCGTGCTGCAGCCCTGGAGCTGCGGTGACCATGTACGGTTGTCTGGCCGTGACGAGCCACAGTGAACGCCACACCCCAGGTCTCCACACGTGGCTTACCCAGCGCAGATCAGCTTTGAAGGATGCGAAGCCAGCCCACCCCATCCGTGATGTCTGGAAACTTTTCAAAAGTAGGGCCCTGCATTTGCTGGGCTGGGGGAAGTCACCCGACAGGTGGGCGGGGCTCCATCAAGTGAGGGGAAACCCGCAGTGTCAACAGGCCCCGTGTCACAGGGGGCCAGCCTCCGGGCTGTGGGCTCAGAGCTCTGCTGCTGGGGACCCGGAGACACCCTCTCCCTTGGGTCCCAGACGCTCCCACAAGCTCACAGACAGAGGCCCAGCTTCTTGGGTCTCTCCGTGGTTTCATAACTGCCTGGGGCTGGAGCTCCTAAGTGAGGGAGGGAAGAGCCAGAAGCCAGCCCCGGAGTCAGGAGGTAAGGTCCGAGGCGGCAGAAGAATCGGCCCCTGAGCCAAACCAGGCCGCAGCAGCTTGGCGCCCCCGCCCCGGAGCAAAGGCCTCCGCTGACACAGGACACCCCCGCCCCCCCCCCCAGGGCTTCAGTCCCTGGAGAAAGCAAGTTCCCGTTTGTGTGCGGCCCGAGGGCCTGCAAGACAGAATCCTGGCTGCCCTGCTCCCGAGCAGGGAGAAGCTAAACGAGGGAGGTTTTTGGAGAACGTGGACAAGAGCCAACGCCCAGTCCATGGGTGACACACCCAGGCAGGCCTGGGATCTGAAGGGAACACACACCAGGCATGGTGTCAAGGGGACCGAGGCAGGTGGCAGGGAGAGGCCTGGGCCAAGTCATCCCCAGAGGCGTCTTCTCTCTCTGCTGCGGAGAAAGCCACGCGGGCAAGCAGGTGTGCGTGTGGGCAGCCCGAGTCCCAGTCACCAGTCACCAGTCACCCCCTCTGTCCTCGGCAGCCCCCGGTGAAATTCCTCCCACGTGCAGGAAGGGAGGGACCAGCAGGCTCACCAGGGCCCAGAGCACCATCAGCTCCAGGGCGAGCCCTTGCGAGCCAGGTGGAAACCCTTCCCTCCCGCCAGAGGGCCTGGCTCCCTCGCCTTCACCGGGAGCCACACCAAAAGCTGAGCTGGGAGGAGTCTGGGCTCAGAGACAAGCAGGGAGCAGTGGCTGAGCCCCCCGAGGTGCAGTGAGTGGTTTCCACCCCCCCCAGCCCCCATTAGCTGGAGCCTGCTGACAGTGGAACCTCGAGCCACAAAGCATCTGACTTGTTGGGAAGATGAATGTGAGAAAAAACTCCTGCCCCCCCGCCCCCTGGATGGAAGGGACCTGCTGGCCCAAAGGTCAGCTGATTAACTGGACTTGCAGGAGGAGGCCCAAGGCTGCGACAAGCCTTCCTGCTGCCACACCCCCTAAAGCTGCCAGGGAGGGCCGGCAAAGCCCAGCTCTCCTGGGGCTGGACACCCTGTGCAGATGGGGGGCGCTCATTTTCAGAGGCCTCGGAGGGAGGCCAGTAAAGGTCCCTGGGAGAGGGTGGACGGTGGCCCAGCACCTCCCGTCCCCTGCCCGCCCCCACACAGAGGACAGCAGCTGGTGTTTGCCACCCGATTCTGACCACACCCTTCCGACGACGCGAGATGCCCGCCCACAACGGGCCACGCCCCCAAAGGTGGGAGTCGCAGGAGAAAGCGGGGGGGGGGGGCGGGGGGGGCGGGGGGGGGGCTCTGAACCCCTAGGCAGCAGCCTGCGGGGGCTGCTCCCGCAGAGAAACACTCCTGAGAGCGTCTGCTCTGACAGAAATCCAAGGAAGAAAAGGGGCGGGGAAAAAAACGGGTAGAGGATACAGGGAAGGAGGAGGAAGCCAAGGGGAAAGGAAAGGGCCAAATAAAGGAAGGAAAAAAATTAAAAAATTAAAAAATGAAAAGAAGGCCGAGCCTATAAATACATAGTTGAGCAGCACTAACTAACATACGCTCAGGAGTGTGACCCTGTGATCAGGCCCCCAGGGCGGGTGAGCACAGCGGGGGAGGAGGAGGGGCTCGCCCAGGTCTAAATGGTGTCACCCACAGAAGTGCTGTCAGCATCACTGGGTTCCGTCACCGCACGTGTGCACGGCCAGTGGAGCTCGGGGGGCCCAGGCAGCCTGCCAGCTCTCGCTGCTCTGGCCACTGTCGCTGCCCCGGCCAGCAGCTGAAACGCTCACGCAGCCCCCTCTCCCCAGGCCGATGCGCGGAACCGGTGCGGGGCCGGCAGACGCGGTCCTTTCCTCGGAGCCAGGACTCAGCGGTGCCTCGCCTCCAAAGCTACGCGGAGCGCTCTAGAACGATCACGGCAAAGGAGACTCCACCTCTCTCCTGTCTGAAGTCTGCAGCGACAGGAGCGCACCGGAATCCGGCCAAGCTTAGAGGGAGGGGTCCAGGAAAACCGTGCGCCGCCTGGGCTGCAGCGTGGGACCTGTGGCACCGCGGGCAGGCCGCTGTCCGTCCTGTGTGCACGCGACGAGGGGTCACTGTCAGAGGACACTGGAAACACCCTAGTGAGAGCAACAGCCAGCTTCTCAGGACCAAGTGCTGTTCCCGCCAGCCCTCCGCTCAGGCGAAAAAGTGTGGGGTCCCTCCCTCCTTGCCTCGTCTTGCTTGAGGGGCGACAAATGTGGACCTCACTTAAGCTACTTCCGTGAGAGACCCGAAAAGCTTAGAACTACAGAAAACATGGAAAAAGACCACACAGCCCACTGCACCCCGAGTCCTCACGTCAGATGCAGGAAACTAAAGGCCAAACTAGTGCACAAGCCAGGTGTGACCATCCTACAGTGGACTCCGGACTGCAGCCAGGCGCTGTCCCCCGACACCGCCGGCTGCTCGGCGGTTCTCCTCGATTAACGGGGCAGACCTCAGTGTCCGAGCTGCAGCGCTCTCCGGGGAACCAACGGCCTGGCCGGACACACAGCCCGGGCCTGCCCCACCAGGAATTCTCTCGGGAATGCAAGTGACAGACTCAGGGCCCCTGCAGTGGGATTCACACAGGCCTGGCTAAGCAGTTTGGACGGGAGGACACGGGCCCCAGTCCCTGCCGCCAGCCGCCAGCAAGGCCTCCGTCCCCGTCAGTGTGCATGGCACAGGCTCTGGTCTTCCAACGGAATCCGAGTGGCCCTGTGACGATGCTGACCAACAGGACGCAGTGCCCACGCCAGTTCCAGGCCTGGCCCATCAGAGGTCTGGAAGACTCCGCTTAGCTCCCCTGGAATCCGGCTGCCCTGCGGTGGGAATGTCCGGGCCCCCCTGTTGGAGGGGGGGACATATGGAAGGGCCCAAGAGGAGACACCGGCGTGCAGAGGTTCGTGGAGAAGAGCTGAGGTGCTCCCGCGGACAGCACCCGGCTCTGGGATGAGACGCGTTTACAGACCTTGCAGCCCCGCCACCAGCTGCACACTGTCACGCGAGTGCCTGCAGCACCTCTCGGAGCAAAGAACCTGCCCAGTGAACCCACAGAATCGGGAGAAATAATAAAGTCCTGATGGTTTAAGCCACTGAGTTTTGAGGTGGTCTGCTTATAGCAAGAGCACTGACACAGATGGGAAACTAGACAGCAATGATTAACAAAAAAAATGCAGGATAACGGTTCTCTCTGGATGGGAGAAGGGCAGCTAGAGTCAGAATACCAGGACTGTTCTGTTTCTTTACTTGGATATACAGGTACTTTCATGACTTACACTAAATGTGTACATTTCATATACTTTTGTAGGGGGACATTTTTGAAAATCTGACTAAGTTTTTAATAAGAAAGAAGTGAG